GTGCGTGTGCGTGCGTGCTCAAGATCCCGAGAGAAGAATGGATGAGAAGGGATTGCGGCGTGGCCATCCCCCCTGGGGGGTGATTTCTCGCTTTCTGTCTCTCTGTCTCTCACTGTCTGTCTGGCAAGCGCACGCGCCCTATAGCAAAAACCTCTAAAAAAAAAAGTTAAAAAAAATTTCTGAGAAAAGCTTTATTTTGTGTATTTCTCAAGCATCTTGACATTCCGTCTTAGAGTAATGACCAATCCTTTCTTCTAGCTCCTCTCAAAATTCCCATTGGTTTTATCTCTTGTAAAGTCCTCAGTGCGGCAAAGCAAATCCCCCCCTCCCTTGCCTCTCACCCCGCCTCTTGGGGACAAAGAAAGGGCCCCATACTCTCATTGAGGCCTTCGGGCAAACCAGATACATCATCACAGCCTAAGATGAGGAGCAGGAGGCCCAGGGAGCCTTTCGGGGTGCCTCCCCTGAGCTGCACAGACCTCTGCCTATTAACTCTTTCAAAGAGCGCTTGTCGGGTGTGAAAGCCAGCTGGGTTCATTGATTAAAAAAAAAAAAGGTATTGTTTTTAGGGCTGTTGACTATATTAATGAGTTGCAACAGGGGACAGTATTTGCAAAGGGCCATACTTACCTCTTACCTACTTGTTGCCTTAAAAGAGAAAAAGATGTTCAGGGTATAGAGAGAATGTCCAGGCTTCCCCTTCAAGAGTGCGCTTCATTTAAGACGCTGGCAGGATGCTCCTCTTCCTAAAAACCTTAAAGAGTTAAGCCAGAATGGTTAATATTCCTCTTCTCGGCCCCCACATCCCGTATTCTAATGTATGAACCAGCTCATTCAGAAGGGAGTGAGCCGCATATGCCTTTGGGACTTTGCAACAGCTTGCCTCCCCTGCGCAATTGTGTACAGTCTCCACTGAAATGTCCCTAAACACGTAATCTTGCAAACGCTTGTGTTCCACTAGACCGTGAGCATGTCCCTCACATCTGTGAATTTGTAGCCCCACATTCCGAGTGGAGTTCATTTTGTCCCTTCACATCCAGGGACTCTCAGCTCGAGGTGAGAAAAAACGAAGGGAGGTTATTAAGAATTCTGACAAGGTAGGCTGAATAAATTGTGTTTTCTTTGTGAGCCTTAATCCGGTGTTGTATTGGCTTCTTGGACATGCCTAATTTATTTGGAATTTCATTCTGTTCCTGACAGCGTCCTTGACTAGCTGTTTGATCACCCCGAGCAAAGTTACATACCAGCTTTCAACTGTTCAGAGGGCAGCAGCGACATTTTTCTCAAGTGCATTCTCCTGGGTCAGGCTTTATGCCGCAGCAGGGCGTTTCAAATAGCTGGGGCCATCCCTTGTTAGGGAGAGAAGCCCGGCCCGAGCAGGGGTCTCCCTCAATGAGGAAGCTCTCCACTTCTCCCCACTCATCCCACTGTTGGCGATTTTAATCTGCTTTTGTGGCGCGGGAAGAAAGAAAATTAATTTTCGCCCGTCTGTGAGCCGGGAGCATTTCAGTGGAAACCCAGTTTGAAATGCATGTTCTGTTGATTTTGGCGGTCTGTGCCGGCTGCATTTTGAGATGTGATATTCTCAGGAAAGAAGTAGTCAGGACACAAACCTTCATAGGGTGTTAACCCCAGGGTCTCTGTTGGCCCTAGATGGTTTCCCCACTGTCTAGCACTCCATGTTGATAGAGAGAAGCAAACATTTGCTCTCTTGTAACTTATTCTGTAATGATTGCCACATTTATGTAATGGAAAGATATCTTGCTACTGCAAAAGGAAAAATATACATACAATTTTTATTTTTTTTTACCTTTTGTTTCTTTATAGAGTGTGTGTCTTGCCAGAGAGAGACAGAGAGGGAGAGAGGGAAAGCAAGAAGTTACCCCCTCCTCCTGGGGGGAGATGGCCATACCACAATCCCTTCTTCTCCAGTCTCCTTTAAGGATTTGGGGCACACACCCACATGCACCCGGTGTGATTTTTTTTTTCTTCTTTTGGAGAGGTTTTTGCTATAGGGCACTTGTGCTCGCCAGACAGAGAGAGACAGAGACAGAAAGTGAGAAATCACCCCCCCAGGGGGGATGGCCACACTGCAATCCCTTCTCCTCCATTCTCCTCTTGGGATCTTGGGTATACACGCACACGTGCCCAGTGTGAGTTTAAGCCACCAGGTCCGGGACTCGAACCGCGGTCGACTACATGGGAGTCCAGAGACATAGCCATTATGCTAACTGCTGGTCCCTACCCGGTGTGATTTTCAAGCCACTTTGTCTGGGACTTGAAGCATGCAGTTGGCCATGTGGGATCCAGCACCTTAACCACCATGTCATCTGCTGGCTCCAAAGTATAATGGTTTTCAAGACTTTCTCACTATTAGCCCAGTCGTAACTGGTGACTTTATAATTTTGGCAGAATCTGTTCTGATAAAACACATCCTTCCTTTCATTTGGCTTCTCAACCCCAGTGTGTGTAACACACTGTTACTGAGTGCCTGGCACTGTGCTGACCCCTGGCGGATTTGGTGCAAGCTCCCATTCCAGAAATACACTCGAGAGCTCAGAGGATGTTAGTGTTATGAAGAAAGTAAGAAACAAAACCAGTCAACCAGCTGAAAACCAGGGTGCTAGGACTGATGGCCCCTGGGTGAGGGGGCTCAGCTTTGCTCACTGAGTCTTGCCTTTGAGTTGGGGAAGTCCAGCACAGATTAAAGACATTTGAGAAGGGATTGTCCCCCTACAAAGTACTTTTATCCCTGGCCTTGCTTGCAGAAGCTGTGGAGGGATTGCTATCCTCTTTCACAGATGAGGAAGCTGAGGCTCAGAGCACCACTGTAACATTGTGAGAGGAACCAGTTTCCCTAGGGCTCAAGAACAGCCATGTCACTCTGATGAGGGCCTAGGAGCTCCTTCTTGTTGCTATCACCTGCAGTGAGAGCTAGTCCTGGGTGGTGGCCAAGTTTTGTGGCCACCTTTTTGCTTCTCATGTCTCTGTTTTTCTTCCACTCCCAGCCGTTCCCCAAGGACCTCATCTGTATGAAGGTTTTATCTGTCAGGCATATCTAATGAGCAATGAGTGAGGACTGGCCACTAGTCACTGGTTGAATGCTGGAGCATCTGAGTGTAGGAAGATGCCTTGGTTCTTTGAAGCACAAAAGATAACCTGGGACCCCAGCCACCCAGAACTGGGACCTTCCTGCTCAGCTCTGCAAACTCCAATCCCCAGTGGCCATGTAGGCTGGAGTGTTAGACGCTCAGATCCCTTGTCTTGGGTTGTACTTGTGGGGCCAGCGATTTAGAAGCTGTGGGCCTGGGAGAACGAGAGAGAGAAAGACAGGAGGAAGGAGAAGAAGCTGTGAAAGGGGGTGACTTCAGACACAGCCCCCTGTCCTTGAGATCTCAAGGAGGAACTCTGGAGGCTGAGTTTGGCAATCGAGTCTGTCCTGACCTGAGGCAGAAGATCTGAGTTTCTCTCTTTCCTGTGGTCAGTCTTTAGCTAAGTGCCGACTGGGGATGCTGTAAGCTCTGGGCTCCAGCCTTTGTGTGTTGAGGGGGCCTCCATAGCTCAGGACGTCCCCTGGAGCAGTCATGTTGGAAGCAATAGGACATTGAAGCTGGGGAGTGGAGGGTGCACAGGAATTGGGGAAAGGGTTTAAGGCATTGAGGTGGATCATGGATTGTGGCCCCAACCCACCATCTCTGTTAATCAAGGCTGACTTGGGGAGTTTTCTCCCAAGAATGGGGAGCATCATGCCTCCCACCCCCTCCACATGCAGTGGGTGCTTAGTGAACTGATACCTGCAAGGTGCTAGCCTGTCTCTTGTGCTTTATCATCACACTTATTTTCTTGTGTGGGTACCAGCAGCCTAGCATCCTTCTGGGTCCCTTGTGCCCCCTCAAGCAGTTTCTTCCCAGGAGAAGCTGGCCCTGGGGACAACCTAGATACTGGAGGGTACCCAGTCCCTTCCTTTCCCAAAAGATGTGCTGACCTCATCCTTGCTGACTCCCAGAAGCCTGGAGATGTCTGAGCAGGCAGGGGCCATGTCTCCTTGACCCTGGGAGTCTCCTATGTGTAGATACCATGTGACTGGGGGCATTGTTGACTTTGTGTGTCTGATCGTGTGCTTGGCAAATATGAAGAGTTTTGTCCAAGGCCACCTTGTCCCCACCTGCCCAGGTTGGGAGGGGCTTTGCTTGGTGTGGACATGAGTCAGTGGCCAGGCTCTGGGCAGCAGCAGAGGGCCTCTGGCTTGAGCAGGCAGCTCCAGCTCCCGCAGGATACCTCGCCTGGACACCTGGACTGCCCAGGTATGTGGAATGCCCACTGAGACATCAGCCTTTCCTCCCTTCCCCAAGGGCATGTCTGCTCTCCCATTTGAACCCTAATCCCAGAAGCAGAGGACTTTCTGCATGAAATCCATAGGACTGTCCTCAACCTCCTGGGAGTCCCTATCAAACAAATGCTCTATCAACTTCTGACTCTATTCCAGGCTCCTGATATATCTAAGTCCTCACATAGATTGAAGCGATTTTCAAACCTCTGTGCATGAAAAATAAGCCCTGAGCTAACTGTCCCCTCAGAAAGTGGCATTTACTGGGTGACTAGGTGGCTCTCTCGGTGGCCTGAATCATCGCACAGGGCTAGGTAGGACAAGACACATTTTGGAGATGGCTCTGGTCAATCCAGGTGATGCCTGACTTCTGGGGTGAGGGAGTGAAGGACCAACGGCGGATGTAGGCAGAGGCTCAGGGGGTCAGTGGGAGTCTGGTACATGAGGAGCTGCCGTTATGAAAACCACAAGCAAGCACCGTGGCCATGCTCCACTATCCATTTTCAGGTGTGCTCCTGTCAAAGCCTTTGCATTTATTCCTGACTTTGCAGCTTCCAGAAAGCCTGGGCAGATGTGATACTGACTTTGTAGATAAGAGGTTCTGGAACTCCTTCAGGTACACAGGGACTGGCCCCAGAGCCTGAAGTTCTAGAAGGGCTTTTCTCTGCGGTTCAGGAGTCTGTGGGTTGGACCACTTTCTGGTGACAATATGGTTGGACTCCCAGGACCTGATGGCCAGAGATCTATGTTATTTCTGCACCCCCTGCCTGGCTCCCAGCTCCATGAGACTCCTTTACTTTATGGGACTGTAGGACTGGACGTGGAGGAGAGGCGAGAGAGTGTCTCCTCACCATCGAAAACTTGGCCGTGAGAGGCCAGACGGGTGGGGCAGAGTCTGCAGAGATGTGTGGGTCCTTGTGTGGGAGCATGCCAGCGTGTGTGCATGTGTTTGTGTGTGCACATGTATGTGTGTGCGTGCACATGTGTGTGTAGTCAACACAGAAGGCTGGCCATTGGAAAAGTCGTGATGCACGTTTGCATGGGAAAACATAGAGGATGCATCCTGACTTTTCTGATGACCCAACAGTATTTTAGAAAAGGTGTGGAGGCATTTCTTAGAGCATGCTCTTCAGGGAGAGGCAGCCAGGCACCACGCTAGGCCCTGTATGTACTCTCTTCCTTAATCCTACAAAGCAGGTGATATTTGCTTCACTTTCCAATGACGAGTCCACAATCCAGAGGCTGAGCAACTTGCTGGAGGCTACTCAGCAGGTACCAGGTGGGACCTGGCTTCAGGCCCTGGTCACTGTGAGGATCTGAGGAAATTCCGGTAGGATTGTCCTGTTTAGCCAATGGCTGTGGGTCCCATCTCAGGTATCTGGGTAAAAGAGCGTGGGGATGATCTGGGAGCCGGTTCTGGGAGATGCAGCTGGTTTTCCCAGGACCCAGGGCCTTTCGGGGCTACTCTGTGTAGACCCCAGCACTGTCACAGGCCCCATGTGCACCTCTGGGACGCAGGCGCACACCCACGTGCTAATGGAGCAGTGCTGGGTGGCCTGGGCGGGCTGGGCTGACTGTCCCCTCTCATTTGCACAGCCTCCCTGCCCCCTCCGAGCGCCGGCCCCCACCCGCCGCGCCTGCTGCTGCCGCTGCTCCGA